GGAACGGCAAAACAGAATGCTGACATGCTGATGTACGGCAAGAGATATGCTGAAACCTACAGCGCATGTGGCGTTAGGATTTCACAGATATTTGTTCAGAATGTAGGAGATGAGTAACGTCGTCCAGAATGCGAACAGCAAATTACGTGACCGTTCTAAAATGTCGCTGTATTGTAATATCGGCTAAAGAGACACAAGAAACGCTGGCGGCAGAAGGGAGCCATCAGAGGGTTCTTTGCCGTCCGAACAATTCCCTTAGCCAATCGAGTTAACCGATCGCTGGATTGAGATAATAAAGCGGGCGCAAGAAGGACCTGAAGCACGCGCAGGGAGGCGCGTGCGAATTGATATTCTAAGTTACTGGAGACGGCGTATAAGCACCCCCTCCCTTGTGACACAGTCACTCGGCGTATTCGCATCTACTAATTTTTTTAGAAAACTAACCATATGCTATCGATCAAGTGGAGCTGCAGGACCGAACCTTGCCGAAAATAGGAATGTTAACACGCAGAGGGGGTGTGTAAATCAAAGGGCTGAGATTTACCAGGGCAAGCTGAGGTTTACCACGTGTACCAGCTGTTTGAATAGGTTGGGTTTTTTGCGAAGAAGGAGACACGATCGTTGGAACAAGAGCCTTATTAACCTGACGTTTTGAATTTTCAATCGAATCCATTATCAGAGACAGAGTCAGATAGGGGTGGTGAATTGCCCAGGTGTTGCAGTATTTATAGGATGAAGTTTCTAGGTCGCTACTTGCCTGTGGCAGTTGGCAGCCCCCGAGTGCATTACGGTTCGACTGGTCAGGTGTTGAAGCATGCAGTTGCTATGCGCTTGTGTGACCGTCAAGATTATCGATTCCCACGTTCGTCGGGTTTCTCCCGCCGTATGCAGGCTGACTCCAAGTAGCCCTATGTCCGACTTGTTCGTGCCCTAACTGAATACTCGAAAGGATATTTTGGGGTCAACCGAGTAACGGAGATATATATATAAGTGGAGAAGAACAGTCGAGCACTGGAGCACTTTGTTTATTGTCCTGAGCTTTCATAGTCGTACAGGAGACCTCTGACAATGGACTCCTGTACGAGTCTGAAAGCTCAGGACAATAAACGAAGTGTTCCGGTGCTTGATTCTTCTCCACTTATGCAGAAACCTTTGAAATCGATATATATATATATATATATATATATATGTCAAGTGGGCGTGGGATCCAGTAAGATTCTAACCACCACACCGAGGGGCACACACCTACTTGACATGCGTATATACCTCACTCTATAAGGCCTATGACGTACCGGTGATCGGTAACGACCGTGAAAAAGTTGTCTGCGTATGGCCTGTTACACTCATAGCGAGCTGCATATATATAAGGGTTTTTATCCAACAATTCTATTTCAATCTTTGTAAAAAATCTACCAACCCTTTTAGGAGTGTGCACACGGGCAGCAACATTCATTCGGATCCCAGCCTCTGTCTGGCGTGTGGCGCCGTGGCCTGTTTCGCCTGCTACAGCTGCCGCACCTTTGAGCACTGCGACCAGCCCCTGCGGGACCGCCTGGGTGACGGCAGTTCTTCCACCTATCGCCGTGAGTATCCGGTCTACGACATGCAGGCACATGTGCGACGCAACCACGCCGGCTACGCGCTGATCCTGCTGTTGCAGTCGGGCCATCTCCTGCTTCTCTCCGATCAGGCTCGCCGTACTACCGAACTCACTGAGCCCTATCGTGATGAGTTTGGTGAAACTGACGTGGATCTGAGGTAGGGCCTTCTGCCTGTTGTGTTACTAGCGTTGTTGGATACTGGTACGGTTGATGTGCTATCTCACAAAGTGTTAACCGAAATTCTGAAATCATTTAAGTAGTGTTGTCATGTTAATTATCGTGTCGCATAATGCCAACATATCCCGGTAACGCAAGAATGTCGGTTTTTGATTGAGCATCTCATCAGCTGCCCGCGTAAACTGCGTGTCGTTAAATAGGAGTACTTAAGCATCAATTTTTCTCATTGATATCTGTCACAACTATATATTTGAATATATCTTGAAGAAAACACGCACAAAAATATTGCTTCTTTTCCATATTTGGTACAAATTTTATACATGAAGAAAGAGTATCTTTCGGTTCTTAAAAAAGTCTAATGGGATTTTTCAAGATCGCCTCATCAGTTGCCCATAAAATTGGCAACGTTATCTACATCCATTGCGAAATTGTATGAGCACTATATGACCTTTTCCTAATAGCCTATAGAAAAATATGAAGTTTCTTACACGGAAGGTATACAGCTTGTAGTTTTGAAACCGCGAATGCAAGTGTAACGGCAGGTCGGGAATTGAGACTTTTTTAAACCGAAAGTTACTCTTTCTTCATGTATGGAATTTGAAGAAGACTTAATTGTGTGCTAAATGAGCAAAAAAAGAATATTTTTGTGCGTGTTTTCTATAATATATATATTAGAATTTACAAGGGCATTAAAATTCCACGGGAAAAGTTCATGCTACTTAAGCAGTCATCCTTCATAAGGTGTAGTTTTTGTAAACTGTTGAAAAGAAGCGCATTCAAGAGTTGAGATCCCGGTGTGTCCGAAATATCTTAGGATTATGCTTCACGATGATTAATGTTACAGCCCTTCTTAGGCAGTCTTCTCGACATAGGCGTCCCTTCTCGTTGGCAAACGCACGTCATCCTCTACTTACTTCGAGACAGAAGTTCAGGTCGTGTCGATTTTCGCCGTACTTCCACATGACTCGGGATGGCGACTGCTGGGCTGTATGTTTGTGTGCTCCGTCAGTGCTTTCTCCGCCCTGCTTGACCGACGTCTCTGACTGTTGTCCATGTAGACTTCTGTCAGTAGGAGTTCCGACAGGGAGAGAAGCTTCTTGTACTGGCAGAATGTGAACGTGATGAATCCTGTTACTCGTTTGATTTGCTGTACACTTGGTGTTAGATCTGGATTCCTAGTGTCTGCCAGGACATGTGTCCAAGGTGCTTGCGATAGCACGCGTTTGGGCCGCCACAACATAAACGCTTAAGTTCACTTTGAATGCCCTTCTTCTTCTTCTTCTTCTTCTTCTTCTTCTTCTTCTTCTTCTTCTTCTTCTTCTTCTACTAATACTACTACTAATACTACTACCACTACTACTACTACTACTACCACTACTACT